TGCTTTCTGTCCTTAATTGCCTTGTAGGCCACATTCAAATCCTTGATCTTTATGCAATACTGGAGAGCATCCAAGCTGTAAAACCACTCTGATTCTAGTGTGTTGAGATCCTCCTCCAGATACCAAGGCTGCCTGTGCCTTTGCCTCTCCTTAGAATAGAATTAGTCCAGGACATCAGTTTGAATCCAGGTGAAAATGCGAATATGGCACAGGCATGGCTGGAAAAATTACAAACAGTTTTAAGAAAGGCCTGTGGACTCTCAGTACAAGTTTCACAAATTTAGACTTTGCTTAAGTACTGGTAGACAGGCAGAAAGGAATTCAGTCATTGTCAGACTACAGTAGTTATTTACAAACAGAGAGACAACTGATAAAGGCACTGTCTAAAGACAGGCATTTTAAAGAATGTTATTAGACTATCACTGTCAGTTGCTATGTCTTCATTTATGCCTCACTCAGTTTGATTTACTACAGAAATGACCATGACGTCAGAATGATCAGTATTTTGCCAGTGCTGTGGTCTCAGGAATGAGTGGTACAAACACCTCTCAACTGTAGGTTTTCAATATATATAAAGCATGCTATGATCCTTTATAATCATATGTTGGCCAAAAGCCTTCACAGTACATCGGTACAGGACCCTCAGGTCCATGTAGATCACATCAGGACTGTCACAGAAACTGCACAGGTTCTCAGGTCCAGTGAGCAGCAGTGCAGCACCACCTCCAGAGGAACATTAATTTTCATTTTGGGACTCCAAATGTCATAAGGAAACTCCCAACCAAAGACTGAGATTTTATGTGTTTAGTTAGAGCCCCTAGAAGGTCCCTAAAACTGTGTGTACCTAAGTGGCCTGTTCAGCTTTCAGCCCCCAAGGTGCTGCAGGTGGCTTGTCCAGCATTAACTGCAGTGACATGGAAGACCAGGAACGTGGACAATCAAGTCTTCACCATGTCTTAAGGGTTCTCCATGGATTGACCATGTAGTGATGTCTTTGGACGTGACCTTTTACACCCTTTAGAGCTGAGAGTAAGTAATCTCCCTATACTGTCCCACCTGCTTTAGTCCCTGCCCTTTTGCTCTCAGTCTGGATGTCCTAAAATGTTAAAATGTGTCATTAAGATTTGTGCTGGAAGCCTGATGACCTGCTAGCTTAGGATCCATGGCCACGCAGCATTGACACCTGCCACCTTAAACCTCTTCCCACCCATTCTCCACTCAGACCAGTGATGGGTGCATTAACGTTTCTATTCTCTGCAAATAAGGTGCTGCTGGAGCACAGCTGGCCAGGAGATGACTCTGCCCTGACTGTTTCTAGTCACTGCAGACACTGCAGTGTGCTGATTCATGAACTTTAATAAAAATAAGTCAGACAGCTTTTAGTACAGATTTGTGTGTTTGTTGCTTTTCTTAGTGTTTTCTTAGTGTTCCTACCTTCTTCTTCAGTACAGTCAGTTCTCCTTGGGAGGAAGTTTATGAAGGACTCTAATGAGGACCCACCTGAGTTGTATTAGAAACCTTGAAATTCTGCTTTGGCTGATGGATTTGAGCCTCTTCCTTTTGTTTTCTTTTTTTTGATAGAAGTTTTAAAGTAGTATTTTCAGGTGCAAGGTCAGGGAGCTGCAGACTCTATTGGAAGCACTTCTTTTATTTTCCCCATAAGTACTATTACACTGCTTATGATGTGGCATTTTCCCCTGTCTACATCAAATTAAATACCAAGGAAATTTCCCTCTGCTACCATATAATGAAAGAGCAAGGAGATACAACACAGACTGGTCATGGCTCTGTACAGAGCAATATCATTGTACATTGCAGGTTTATTTGATTTAGATCTTTCTTGAACGCTTTTTGTCTCTCTGTGTGCATAGTGTACTACAGAGATAGCTGACATAGCGGGTAAACTCTTGTTGAGATCCAAGCAGCGTGGACGTATCAGCAAGCTCAGAGCTAATTCAGAGTTTTACAGGTCTATGTATTGTACTCCACCATGCAAACAAAAAATGCTCTCTGTTGCCCGTTTTGCAGGAACAGTTAAGCTAAAATAATTAATTGGGGGGGCATAGGGGGAAGAGAAATCAAGCCTGAATCGAAGAAAGTCTCTGATGGGGTTGCCATCTGATAACATTAAAAATGACTTTGTTCCTCCTTAAAGCAAATTAATCTTTGTTCCTACAGCTGACCTGATAAGGTTATTAAAATCATATATGATGTGTCAGTTCTGTAACTTACAATCTAATGCTAACTTTTTGCAAATCAGCCTTCTCTTAAAATTGAAATGAAATGTGTAGGTTTGTGAGTTTGGTTTTTTTTTAATTACCAGGGTACCTCAAACATTGCTAAGTGCTTCTGCTGCATAAAGGAATGCACTTAACTTAAAATGTTATAATTCATGAAGGTGAATGGAAATGGGTCTTAGTTTTCCCTGCAGTAAGACTGCAGGCAAGGACAGTTTCACAGACCTTCATTTTGACCCAGTGTGGCTGCTCTGAGGTTCTCATGCTCAGCCCTTCCCCTGCTGTTTTGGGGGATTTTTTTTTTTTAATTTTTCAATTACATTTCAGATATTTCACAATATTTTTTACTTGTTGAATACTATATAAAAAGTATTGGCACAGCTCTGTGATATGGGACAAATGGGGCCTGATTTGATCATTGAAGCTGGTGGAAAAGGTAAAGGCTGTGAGGTTTCCAGGAGGTACAAACAGAGTTACAGAAGCATCAAATTACTTTCAGTTGCATTCAATCAATGAGCACTCTACTCCTTCCACCACAGCCACTCAATTAACTCTACCAGGAAAATACTCTTAGTGAAAATTGTGTGTTTAGCTTAATAGTGCACTGCACTGAGTTGCCGTGGGTTGCTGAGATTTCCGAGTTATGGTGTAACATATACTAAAAGCTCATCTGCACACCCACAGAGGAGCTCAGAGAGACACCAGCGTGAGGGGGAACCTAAAGAATGCCCTGCCCTAGCTGTTCCCATCCCAGGAGCCATCAGCCCAGAGGAGTCCAGGGGCACAAAGTCAGGTGGGAACCTGAATTAAGGACTGAAGAGGAAGGGACACTCTGTCTGTTGGGCCTTTCCCAAGCAGCACATTGCTGCCCCAGCCTCTCCCCTCTTGGACTGTCAGACCCAGCACAATACGTTCCATCAAAGGTAGAGTAAGCCTGGGAGAAGAGTAGAAAGATGGGTGGAGTTTAGTATTGTAATTTTTCATTTCCTTCCCTTTGTGAGTTGCACAAAACTACTGCACAGCAAGTAATCTTGTTGCTCTACTCATTTTGTAGAATCTGAAACCTTGAGATGGGGCTTGGGGTGGGGTGGGGTGGGGTGGGAAATTTGAGAACCAACAGGGAGGGGAACCAAAAAAGCTGTATATGTACCCTTGTGTGTGTGTACTATCTAGAATCTAGCACTCAACTATAAAATATTCACCAATGCACAAAGTTTATCCATCAAATGCTTGTGGAACAGTGAGTTTCAGACACAAATAGTAGTGATTAAAAAAGAAAACACTTCTAAGTCTAAACATGATGTAGACACAATATATTTTAACTAAACAGGACCTTCAAAAAAGCAGTCCTTCCAAAATGCAGTCCAAGCTTGGAATTACCTTCTTCCTGTTGAGAAGAATATGAAAAGAAACCAAAAATACGCCCAAGGAGTAAATTAGTACGTGTACAGAAATTCCTCTGTAGGTGACCTAGTTTTAAAGATCATTGGGAATTTATATTCATTGCCTGTAGAGAGACAGGGTGGCCAGGGAAATGCTGCTGTGATGCATCCATGGAAATAGTGTTGGACTAAATTTCCTCATTGGCATAATTACACTACATTAAAAGAACTGATGTGAAGATTGAGTATGTTCCTGTGTTTTCACGTCTGAGCAAAAGAACTATAAAATGTTCATTTTAGTTTAACTCCCAAACAGAAGGTCTTTCACAACATCCTAATTGCCTAATTCCTATTTTTGTTTCCTTTTCTGTGAGGTGAGATTTTTATATTCCTTTTATCAGTGGAAATATTTTTCCTTCTCCAAGGGGAAAAACCCCCACAAACTATCATTAAATCAAGTCAATCATATTTTACTAGATTTATGCTTTCTTCTTTTGTCAGTGATACACAGATACATGTGGAGACATAACTAGTAGAATATTTTATCTATTTGGAGATGAAGTTTTATCCCCTAAGGCTGTACAATTCTTCAGTGTCAAGCAACTGATTTATATTACTTTTGTGTGTAATAGTTCTACAGCCAAACCCTTTTGATTGCCAGGACATCTTATTAAGGCTCCATTTCTCTTATGTGGATTTGACTTCAGTTTTCTATACTTTAAGGTATGATGGATTGATACCTTACACAATATGAAACATATAGAGTACAACAATGAATATGTTTACAAGTGGCTTTATTCCTTTCTCCTTTCAACAGAATTTATATTAACATTGCATGGTATATATTTGCAATAATGTTTTTGACCATGAAACTTAAACAGCTCTGAACTCCCAGCAAATGCATCTTCTGTACAATAGTGCTTTTGCAAAACGTCTCATTACTGTACATGGTTTGTTTTTTTTTTTTTTTTTGGTAGCGAGATCATTTTCTTACATCAAAGCCTGTCAGGCTTACGAGTTATTTCAACAAATGGAATGATCTGGATACACCACTTGAAAGTTTTCTGCAGGAGGTAGAAAAGTAAACTTGAAACAGAAATGTGTCGCTTTTCTTTACAAGAAAAGGTTCTGTCTTTGTTCTCTGTATGATCGTTGGAGTGAAACGCTATTTGTAGTGTATCTCCTCTTTCACAAGAGCCTGCAAGAGCGTTCACTGGGCTAAACTTAATCTTCAAAACGAATGCTTCTGATGGGAGGCTACTTCACAGGAAGCGTGACCTCATTCGGTCTCTGTGCCGCTGATTGCACGGGGCTGTTTTCAAAAGGAAACAGGGGACTTCATAACCTGCCTTTCCAAAGAGCCAGGGCTGATCTCTCCCAGGAAGCTGCTGAAGGAACACCCTCCACCAACCATCCCACAGGCTCTTGGGCTGATGATGAGAAACTTTTCTGCACACGTGTGTTAATTGTGAGATGGATTTTCCAGGTTTGGGAGATTTTAGACTTCTTTATCTCGTAATAGATTTGTCAGCTGAGGAATAACTAAGCTTTGGAGTAATTTCTATGCTGCCTCTTCAGGAAGTTTTGCATTCTCTTGAATGTTATCATTACCTGCAGGGAGAGATGACTAAACTGCTCTTCAAAAATGACTTATGTGTGTGAACAAATAAAACTCCCTTTGCAGACACTTGTGTTTGGTGGGTACAATAGAATAAAACTGGTTGCCTGGGCTTCAGCTATTTTGATAGTTAGCACTTTATTTTGGCAGGTATTAATGTAAATATTTAGATTGCAAACTGATGGCATCATTGGCTTGAACAGTAATTTGATTTTTGGAGAGAAAGGTATTTAAAACTGACTGGCTTGGACTGTGACTTTTTGTTTATATTATAACATGAACTTTTGTATATTTTGAAATTCAAGGGGAGATTTGCCTTACATTTTTATTTGAGTTCCTTACATAAAATATTGCCACGTTCACCTCAGATTCACTTTTAGTGAGAGCTGATAGAGCTGTTGGTCTTTTCTCGTGCCACCGTTTAAAGGTTCTATGTTGATGGCTCGTTTCGTGGGTTACAGATACAGCACTAGTGCTTCGTTGTACAGTGGTGGTTGAGATGCTTTGTTTTGGCTTGCTGATGTCGTTACTATAGCTTCTCATGCTATTAATAGCCCAGAACTAGGACTGAATATTAAATGAAAGCAGAACACTGTGCAGCATTGTCTAAAACATGATGTTTCCATGTTTTCTCCATCATTGATTGAATTATGATTTTCAGGAACTCTCATTATCCATGAGGCAAAAATTTTCATGATCAAGGGCAGCAAAAAAATCTGTTGGACTGCCTGTTCTATGACTGTTCACAGAAGCTTGGTATTGTCATTATTTAAAGTAGTTTGAAAGCAAATTATAGCTGCTGATTAACTGTTCTTGAAAAGAGGGAAATTCAGCACCTCCCAGTAATATATTTGCATGTGTATCTTGTTCACTTTCTTTTATAAATAGATGTATATACTCTATTCTGTCTTAAACTTTATTTCTGTGGAGGGTGGCAGATAAACAAGCATCCTGCAGAGACACACCTTGCGAAGTTATGAAACAATTCAAATGAGTAACAGAAGGACTGTGGTTTGTTCTGCCACTGTGATCAGCCTGTGTCAACACTTTCTAATGAAAGCACTACCCATATGAAAGCTGCTACTCTTCAAAGTTATTCTTTTTTAGCAGTTGCTACTTTATCATAAGGTGAAACAATCACATGCAATACAGCTGTGTTGTGGGTTTCAGTTGCTGGACAGTTTTGCTCAGATCATTAGAGAGTTGTAGTAGGTATAACTGATCATGAGATATACTTCTATATCCCTTTTCTAACCAATTTGCCCTAGAATCAATCACTTTTGCCTGAGGATACATCATAACTAATAATGTGATACTTATGGATGTACATCATCCACACATCCTAATTTTCAAACAAGGCAAAATAAAACATACTTGTGTTTGTTTTAAAAGTCTCTTCCAGATAATTTACATTCCCTCTTAACCCAGGATGTATGAAACAGTCCTTTTCAAGGTGTATGGAATATCACATGTGGCACTGACACCAGGAGGAAGAAAATTTGGGCACATTTATCAGAACTTTTAGTAAAAAAAATATCTTGTGGAGGGCATCTTGTTTGACTGATAAGATTTGGGATTTTGCTGGGTTTAATTTATACCCAGATTTACAAACTACCTGCTGAGTTCTTACCGTATTTTCTTTTAGAGTTTGGATGGATTTCTTGGTTTGAATATAATATTTTTGCACCTTTCAAAATCATGATTTTGCTTAAAATAAGAGAAATTATTTCAAAAGGTGGTTGTATGTGAAAGAAGTAGCTCTAATATGTCAGACTATGAAATACATTACTGCTCTCACTATCTGTACAACTTGCTCTGTGGTGTTCTGACTGATGCTACTTGATCTCTCTGTACCTCCACCAAATTTCTTCCAGTTGTCCCCTCCTTTTGGAAGTGTTATAGCATAATTTTTGTGTGGTAAAGTGATTTTTTTTTTTTTTGTTTAAGGGTAGGAAAACAGTATGTAATGGGAGCAGGGTAATATAACTGATTTGTAAAAAATACCCTGAAGGTTTTACTTCTCTTTTTTTTTTTTTTTGTGACCCTGCCTGGTCCCAAGCGTGTGACTGACAACTGAACTCCAAATGAGGATAAACAAGATACCAACGTGGAAACACTGACCTTCGTGTCTTTTCTTTGTCTCAGCTCATAACTGAACATTAAAAAAAAATAAAATTCTCTTAGACCTATCTCCTCTAGGAGGTGAATGACGGACACTCACTAAAATGTGTTGTAAGTCTGAAGCTCTAAAGATACAGGAGAGGCAAGGTAATATAGGGGAAGATCATATCTTTTATCTTTTCAAGTAATAACAGATATAAGTTCTCCCTATGGATAGCCATTGCTCAAATTTCATAAGATTGATTCTGTCAGGTGCTGGACACCCAGCAGCACCTTGCAGGCTTAAGCCATAGTAATCCAGACAAATCCTATTTCCTTAGTCTCCTGCCACAGTATTACTGTCAAATATTTTTCACTGTCACAAACCCTGTGCCTGTTGTGCTATGTCTGCAATTTTCATCTGAAAATGTAACATAATGGTAACAGTGGCCTTTCCATTCTACCCTGTGTCTGCTGCCAGTACATGTACTGGTTTTGGCATGAAACAGATCTCTGGCAAAACACCATTAAAATTACTGCAGTTATTGTATTTATATATCTCTTTCCCCTGTTCTTTAATCTGTTTTATCTCCTTTAATCTCACTATTAATTTCCTTTTAATTTTTTTAGCTTTTTTATGATCTTTTAGATATACATGAGGTACCTGCCAGTGAATGTGGTAACGACTCCTTCATATTTACCCTTTGCCTCTGCAGGTTCAGCGGCATTTAATGGAGAGCATAGACGCAACCTCTCACAACATATTTTTCCAAGGTACTGAGGAAAATCACACTTGCTTAATTTTATTTTGTTGTAGATTTTGTAAAAATCCCTTTTGGGCCATGTAGAATTGTAGTGCCGATATTAATTTAATTACTGCTGTAAATGGAAGTTCAGAAGTACTGCTGTGGAGGTTGGAAACACTGGCTTTGCAATTACAAGGTTTTGGAGTATCTCTCTTCCATCTGCTTTTCCCTACACTGAAATTATGGTATCCCTCTGTGACATGCCATATGGGATAGTTAAACCTGCTACTGAAACACAGGTCAGACACTGAATCAATCCAGTGTCTTCCTTTCTTTCAGTGATGTCACTGCATGGCAGTTTGGAACTTGTAGGTGTTGAGGAGAAAGGACTAACCATAAATCCAATTTTACTTAAGCTAAGTAAAATGTCTATGACATTTAGAATCTTTCACCTCTGTCACTACTTACTTCTATTTTAAATACCACATACTATGTTCTTCTTTCTGTGCTAAATTTCATCTCAGAGTCAATCGTGTTTCAGTGCTGGATGAAGTTATCACCATGTGTAGACTTTATGTCATGTTGTTCTAGCTGCATGGTATTCTAGGATTTGTGAGAGTTTAAAGTCATGTATCCTTAAATCCTCTCCAAATATGGAGGTAGGTGTAGGTAGGTGTAGGTGTGGCAGGACTCCTTGGCCAAGAGCACTGCCACATGCATGTCTCAGCTCAAGCTGGCTCCAGGCAGGCATGAAATGCTCCTCTGGCATGTATCCCTCCTGTAATCTGAAGCTGTGGAAAGTGTGATGCAGGCACACTTCAGCTGGCTGAAACCCCCTAGTACGAAATATCATCACATCCACATATTTTAAATCTATGTCATTACCAGCCCACATCATCTGGGAATGTAAATTCATTGCTATTAAATCGTGGTTTTGCTCTGTCTAGACCTTCACTAAATAAGAAGCTTTCATTTCTCCTTTTCAGTTGCGTTTGTGCCTTTCTGGACGATGATCCTGCCTATGAGTGTTCCACAAGCCCTCTGACAGGCTCCCTTTCCCCGTGTCGCCGCAGCCCTCGGCTGCTTTCTAATGGTTATTACGTTTTGACGGAAGACAGTTTTCTGTCTGATGAAGAGGGCAACGTGACACTGTCGCCATCCCACACAAGAGTTACATATAAAGAGAATTTAACTCGGTAAGTGAACTATGTGCAGGTTCTACTCCCTGTTGGCAATTGCCTCCACCTCTCCGGCCTCATCTAGAGGTATCTGTGTCTCTCTACGTTCTGCTCGGCTTAAGATCAGCATTGCTTCTGAATGGGAACACCTCAATTGCTTTAGTTTAGAGAGTGCTGTGATTGAAATAACCTGATTTTCAGTCATGTCTTACTACCCAAAAACTCTCCAGCACACAGTTGCTGCTATAATTGAAGCTGTTTCCAATAAAGAGAAAGGAGAGCTACAGCTCATTTTGCCAGTGGGGTGTTGCTCTGAAAAGGACTAAGAAAAAAAGTATATATAAATGGTTTTTAGATGTCTACATCTAAAAAACGCATGCACAAACATACATATATATATATATATATATATATACATATATATATACAAATAAAAAGGTCTTGTCCTGGAATTCTTACTCAAGGAAATATCTCTGTTGATTCCATAAGAACATCAGTTTAGCCAAGTATATAAAACGTAGTTCAAAAAAAAGTTGAAGTTCAATGGATTCACACTGCTTCGAGTAGGACATGGCAGGGTGAAACTCATGAGTAGAATGAGACATTCACAGCAGTATCAGAGACCAATAGCTATGATATCATTCAGTATCACAGATTCCAGTATCACAACAGCACGATCTGCCCTCCTGCCACTACATTCCCTGACAAACTGTGGTGTGCAGGAGTCATTCCTAGTGACGCACCCAGGGGCAAGAACAGGGCTAGGAGTAGCACCCAGAACGTGGCTCTTTCATGTCATTCCTGCAGGTTTTAGAGCTCAGCAAGAATAATTAGCTCCATTCCTTGATAACAAGTCTTTTCCTTCCAGTGTATTCAGGCGAAGGAAGAAAATCCGTCGCTCTCTTGACAGCTTGTTCAATCTCAGTGCCTCCAGCTCATGGCTCAGCTCCACCATTCCCAGTAACATGGATTCCTCCCGTATAGATGATCCTTGGCTTGATGGATGCAGTAAACTAGAAGTCAGTCACAGTGATATTGGTAAGTCCTGATCAGATACCAGGTAATCAAACTACAATATTACAGATTTGAGTATCTGTTTTTTTAAGTTTTGCAGGGGTTGTCTGCCAAGATGTGCAGATAAAGGGTAGATGCTCTACAGAATTCAAAGTGGGGAATAAAGTTCCTGGCACTAAACCAGCATTATGAGTTTGTAAAGACCTTTGTTTCAAGGTCTTTAAACTGAATTTGAAGCCAAAGTCATCATCAGTAATGTTTATTCTGGTGTGATTAATATCTGGCACTGTCTGCTTTCACCTGGGTCTTTCAATAACTTCATCATGTTACGCTCTATTCAGTTTTGTCTTTACTCTGCATATTTTCTCCGGCATACGTTGGGCCTGCCAATTCCCTACCCATAACAATTTTGGAACCCCTCCTGTGATAAAGCAATTAAACCTCTCCCCAGTTCATTAACACAAAGTCTCAAAGCTCTTCTTTTGTGCAATCTCAGTTATATGTGCACTTTTTGTAGGTGATTCAGACTCTTCTTACGGACATTATAACCATGCGTCACAAAGGCAAATTCCACCACATAATGGAGCACCTCTCACCAAAGATGATGAGTTTCTTCAGCCTGAGAAACCATTTAGTGCTTCAAAACCCTTCTCACCATTTATGGTAAATGCAAACAAAGAAACCTTGAGCAATGGAGGTATGTTATGCTCTTATTCTGACATGCCTCATTTTTGAGTGAACTGAAAATACTCACATTAAAAATACGGATCTGGCCCCTTGCAGAATAGAATTTATTTCCTTAACCATAGATTTTAAATTAATTACTAAAATTAACAAAATATTGAAATTGTTATTTACTTGTTTACTCCCTTCTGCTCACAGCTTTTCCTCTCCCATTTTTTGAAAAAAAAAAAAAAAAAAAAAAAAGGAGGAAAATGGAGGAAAGGGCATGGGAACAAAAACTGAAACAGGCAATTATGCAGAAAAGCTTGTTTTCTGAGAGCATGGAGGGCATAGTGTCTCTGTGGTTGTGGGGGAAAAAGACTCCTGAGAGACACCCAGAGCATGAAAATTAGGTTTCTGCTTTGAATCACTCTAGGCAAGTTCTCTTAAAAAGGAACTGAGGAGGCTGGTCTCACAGGCTGAAGGTAGTCTTTCAAAACACCTCCTGTCATATATTTACTTTCCAGAAAACCCATTAAAATTATTTTTCTGATTTTTATTTTAGAATCCAGGACAGCGCAAAATGTCGTCTCTCAGATGGTTGCACTGATCATGTTTTTAATGATTTCAATATGTACAAGGTAATTTTTACTTCTTTTGTTTGCTGTTTCTGACATTAGTGCTTACTCCATTTCAAGTGGTGAAAAAAAATTTAAATTAAGAGTCACACGTTCAAAGTTCCATATATCTTTCTGGGAAAATATATTTTCACATGATAGTCAATGCAGACAATAATCTGAACTATATAGATGCACAAACCCAAGAAATCCACGCAGATACGAAAACTACCTTTCCAAGTGTGCTTGGACACGGGTTTTGGCAGAATGAGAAGAATCAGAATGCATCCATGTCTTTTTAAGTGCCTGTTTCAGTCTGAGAAAGCTGAGGTCTTTCTTTCTTGGAGATTATCCTCAATAGTTTACGTAATTAAGAAAGTTTCACATTGCAGTTCACCTACCAGAGTTCAGAGGGTTCATCTGCAAAAACCTTCTCTTCTCCTCCCACCCAGGCTTCACCTCTTTTAACCCAATATGCATCCTGTGGCTTTTTCTAAACTTTCTGGATAATTTTATGCTTTCAGATATTTTCTGGGAGGATTGCCTGCCACTTTGTTGCTGATAATTTTAGTTTGTAAGTACAGAATTTCTTTATATACAGCACAGGTTTTTTTGGTGGTTTTTTTTGTTGTTTTTTGTTTTGTTGTTTTTTTTTTACTAAAAAAGAAAGGGTTTCTACTAAAAAAACATCCAAGAACAAAAATCCATCTTTGGATGTATATCCATGACTCTTACTGATGCCAAAAAACAGCAGTATGTGGGCAAATGGGGACAGAATGTAACCTTTAACCTATTAGAGGATTTTGCATTTGAATTTCACAGGTCTTTTGTCTCAAGATGCTGCTGTGTCATCTTTCTTCAGTCTTGACACATCTTTCAAAACCACAAAGTTTTGGTAAGTGGCTCCAGTGTCATGTGGTGAATAGAGGAATTTTGAAGTTTTATATGAAGAAGAGGAAGGAGAAATTCCTGCTGTTGTTTTCATGTCAGAAAACAAGATCTGAAGTTACTATTGAAGTATTTGGCTTTTCCTGTTAC